GGGCCGGCCCCCCCCCACTGTCTCTCAGCCCAGCCAGCCACGGCACAAGAATTCAACACAACTTTTCATCAACAGACACAAAAAAGGTGGGTTTTGTGTCCTGAACATATAGAGCTCCTACAGGCAGCCGCTACTCTACTGGAAATGAGGGACACACCCACCTCAGATGCCTGTCTCAATGCTCCAGAACAAGATCAATGGCAGTAATTAAATAAGACTTGTTAATTTTCAGCAATTCCACCCTCCGATGCAGAGATCTTGCTGCTTGGAGCTGTTAAATGCAACCTTCCTCCATCCTTCCTCACCTCGTCCCATGTCACCTCCATGCAGCCACTACAAGAGAGCTTGTGCCAACACTACGAAGAGCAAAACAATAAGAGCCAAGCAAATCAGTTTCTTAAAACTTATTTTAATATCCATGTCTCATCTGTTGGGTAGAGCCAAAACAGTCTGGCCTGGTTTAAGTTACAAATTCTTCATACACTTCTCTTTAAGTAAATGAACAGTGTGGCAACAGGGTCTGTTATTGGAAGTGAAACCCATATTAACAAGGAAGGTGTCGCAGCCAGAATTCTACCAGGGTTCTTCTCCGCCGTCAGCCCCGGGAAAGGCCAACGCTGTCCCCAGGCCCCTGGATGGGTGTCACACGGCAGGAATAAATGCATCTGACACAAAACTAATCACACCCACAGAGATAGCACACACTGTATGTCCAAGAAACAACGGGACCCGGATAGAAAAAACCCTTTTAGAATTCTCCCCGATGTAGACAGACACCATTATCATCAGTTTCAGCAAATGGGATGAAGCATCAACCCTGATTTTGCCTGACAGAGGCTGAATAGACACGTCAAAGCGCTGCTTGCTAAACAGTTAACTTCTGGAACAGAGCGGCAGGGATGGAAAGGGCTAAGAAAGTATGGCTGAGGATTTAAAGATGCAGTATTTCTTTTCTTTGTTTAAACCACTACAGTTTAGAGACCACCTTAACGCAGCTGCAAGTGAATACATCCAATTAAAAGCCCAAGAGTCACTACCAAAATAGTGATAAAAAAATCAAAGCAGTAGAGGTCTCCAGGTCCACTGCTAAATTTCAACAGACTCCTCCATCTTTCAGTTAACTAAAAGTTCCTGATCAGGTTTAAGCATCATATTTGCAGACGATGGCTTACAATAAGGCAGACAAGCGGCAGTTCTCTCTGAAAGTGCGTGATGGAGAACGCCGCTTGGGTACCGAGTGCCCCAAACAGCCCACGGGCTGCCAGAGCTGCGGGCACAATCCTGGAGGTGCCGCAGAGGCGAGTCCACACCACGGTGGTCTGGGTACTGGGTTAGGAAGTGTGCACAGGGTATTTTGTTTTTTAAACAAGACCCTGAATTGCAGTAGTGCACTGCTCGGCTCCCTCCTGAGACAACCCTTGAACACTGCATCTTTAAATATTTCTGGCTATGAACTCCTGCCACATGTTAGGAGCACTCCAACCTGGCTGCCACATGTTCAAGTGCTGTGCTTTTTGCGTGTGTTTTCAGTTTTCCTTCAATGCGGGAGAAAAAAGGGCAGAGTGGGGACAAGAGGATTGCGTTCCGCAGCAGGCAGGCTCCAGCTGAAGGTGTGAGATCCCTCCAGGCAGATTAGAGAAGAGAGACAAAAATAATTAGGTTTGCTCCCTTCAAGAACATTATTTTTTCCCCTCTCATATGAAATCAGATGCAGCAATGGCAGCAAGTTAGGAAAGTCAGCAAGTTTTTAGAAGGAAAGTGTTAAGGGAGAGAGGAAGCTTTGCAGCCAAGTCACCTAACTGAGAAAAGCAGACAAGTCTTCAGCTTCAGATTTTTAAAACACGAACAAGGTATGTACAGTACTGTGTGAGCACAGATCACACCTGTGATCAACTGAGCTGTGCTCTGATTCTTTCCTGTTCGCTGCCTGCCTTTTCAACAGTCAACAGATATCACGCTCACGAGAGCAGAGAGCACGCCGTGAACATGTCAGGGTGTGTTTTCAAAAAGAACAGCACTTCAAATAAATTAAAAAAGGTGCAACCGTTGGGAGAGCTATGAAGCAGCAGCTGAAAACCTTGTGGCAGTCCGTGCTGTGATCCACTCTGATCACAGGAGATCTACGCAGGCCTGTTCTCCCACGGGCTTCAGCGCCCTCCTGAGAAGGTGAATTATTCTTACGAGGCCACTCCAAGGGAGCAGAAAGCTGCACCATCCGCAGAATGGACACTGCCATGAACCTGCTAATACGGGTTTCACTTTGAGACCAGAAAACTGTTTTCTTCCAAAAAATTGTTATTTTTAAAAAACTGAAATTAATTAGGGGTAAAACACTAACTCTAGTGCCATGAACAGGCAGGATCAACTTTTTTCCCCTCCAAAGGGCAAAGAGTCATATACCATCCCCAGCTGAACCTTGGTGCTTCGAGCTTTTCAGGAGATGTTACCTAAACTTTATTAAAAGAAAAAGAACAATGTTTAAATATCAACACTGGACTAGCCCAGTCTTTTTCCAAAGTCCACATTCTTCATATGAAGCACACACGGCGTCCTGGATTCCCCAAGGCTGCATGTTCAGAAGTTCACAGTACATGGAACCATGTCTTTTTGTATTTTCTTGAGTTTCCCCTCCTTGCTCAGAGCAGCCACCCTTTTGTGGTCATTTTACAGGATAAACCTCAAGCCATCTCCTATCCACATGGCTTGGCCTAGATGCCGAAGGTTTTCTTGATGAGAGTTGATGTTGTCATGCTCTATGGATGGAAAAAAGCAAGAGAAAAAAAAAAGCACCTGGTGCAGGTTTCTTGAGACCCTTGCGGATTCCTCTATTCCAAAGCTGTTTCTCTAAGTCTTTTTGCCGGTTTCTCAAGCAGTTTTTGGCCTGTTACTCTGTCTCAGTTTGAAGAGCTGTTATTGGATGATCCGGAGGTTGATGCGACGGCAGCTCCAGCTGGGCTGCTCGTGGATACAGATTTGCGGATGTGAGGCAGCAGGTACGGGTCACAGGCCAGCTGCTGGACATCTATCCGATCCTCCTTTCGGTAGGCCAAACAACGTCTGATAAATGCCTGCAGACACCCCAAAGGCAAAACAAGAATTAGTAGGACAGCAAAAGGAAGCTTTCTTCGGGAGTGGGGCCAATCTGACAACCCCAGCACTGAGATTCCTTCCCCAGTGACCACAGAGACAGTCCAGCTCCTACACCAGAAGCTCATCTCCTATCAGGAGGAAGCACGGGCAGAGGCACACACTGTGCTCTGCTCAGTCCTCAGCCTGATAACGCAACGCAAAGCCACCCATCGCTCTGCAGGAGGCAAGCATTAAACACAGAACTCCCCCTGCTTTTAGGGAAACCAAGAGGGTGGAACTGCCAGCGCCAGTCACTGACATACACACTGCGATGCTGCAGGAAGATTTACCTTTGCTTCTGGCGTGACTACTGGCTTTGGAGGAAACTGCACCTCGGTAGCTTTCAGAATTGTGTTCTCCTGCAGAATATCTTGTTGTGACTGGTTGTGACCGAAGGGCTACCAAAAAAAAAATGGAAGACAGATGTTAAACGTTGTTGACAGGCCTTAAAAAGCCCATAACGCTACTGTTTATCATCAGTTGACATCAGCATTTTTCCAGGCAAGAAGCCCACGAATGCTGTGAAGGTGCTGCAGATTCCAGATGAGCAGGACACACTGCTCCCGCGCTTAAACTGAACAAAAGGGACCAAGCTGGAACGCGTCTGTGGTGTCTGCGGTGTCTCCGGCTCAGACAGGAGGGACCTCCACCTGCTTCCAGACCTCGTAGGTCAGCTTCAGCATGTGCAAGAGGGCTTTCATCTACCTAAACCAACAGGAGATTCACCCACTTCAGCCTCTGCTGGGCCGGTTCCACCATCTGCCTGACTGACACCACTCAGCAACCCAGTGTGTTTGTCAGCCCAGGCTTTCACAACACTTGGTTACTAAGGACTTGTGAAAACAAGAGATGGAATCCTTCTCCTGCTCCAACTTATTCCTTCTGTTGTCATAAAACAAATCACCTTTTCACAGGAGAATCACATTTTCCTGGTCCAGACTCTTCCCTTCCAAAAGCCATTCTAAAAACTTCTAGAGCAGGTCTTTGTACCTACTTTTTTTTTTTCCCTAAAACGCAGCCATCAAGCATCATCAGGCTCAACAAAGACTTGGAGCATTGAAAGCATCACAACACAAAGCCAGAGCAAGAACCTCAGGTGTCTGGCCCTGAACAATATACTGCTCGTGCCCATAACAGCCTCAGGGGGAACACGCCCAGTGAAAGAGATGTTCTGCACAACATTGCTTCTGAAGGAAGCGCCACGTAGAGTGAAACAGAACCTGGTAAATTCTTCCCACTTCGTCAGCATGGACTCTGCCTTGGAAGTGACGGCAAGGAGACAAGGTGGAAGCACCTTCTAAGCCTGGGGAGGGGAAGAAAGCAGAAGCCAGGGCTGCCTGCCCAAAGGTTTGGGAATTGCCCCTAAGAAAGGAGGTAAATGCCTTCTTACCTTTCTGCCATAGAGACACTGATAGAAGATGACTCCCACTGACCAGACATCAACTTTATTTGAAATCTTTGGAGGTTCTTTTCCAACCACAAAACATTCTGGTGGCAAATACCTGATTAGAAGGAAGTGATAAAGGGTTATGAGTAGCATCTCCAGATACTTTCAGTCATTTTTTTCAGAAAGGAAGGAATGAACTTCTGTGATCAGATGTTAGCTTTGGACTTGAGCTTCCCGCTTTCATTCCTGTGCATCTTTGGGCCAAGATCACCAATGTGCATTGTACCCCTTCTGGGAACAGTGATCCCAAGGACTCTCCAGACACTCATGGTCTGAGCTAGTGAGCAGTTTCTTTTCACCAGAGCACATAAAGTAATCCCATTTTCTTTTATCTTCAGAACCAGTTATTTGTTGTTAAAAGGGCTCAGCCAACAATTCCACAACAGAACCACACAGCCAAAATACGTATTTCTAGAAATATAACCCCAGATGCCCCATTCTAGTTAGAGACGGTCAGCCTTGCTCAAACCACAGCTAATTTCATTTTTAGGAACAGAACAAAACTGTACAATACAGAATGCCTGAACAAATGTTCCTGTACAACTGTTGCCCATAGTGACAGTTGCAGCTCAGGTAATATCCAGGAACCACAATCAGTAGCACTCACCGTAGGTCTTGCTCTCAGCAAGATGCAGTGACAAAACGTGGCACTGAGGATAAAGTATTGCTGAAAACATCTTTCACATCACACTCAAAAGTGAAGCGCTGGCTATAGATAGCACTACGAGATTTACATCTTTTGTAAGAGCTAACTATAGATTTTCACCTCCTCATCTTTCCATCTCCCCGATGTACCTGAATTTCCAAACAGGCACGGTATTCTCCTCCTCCTTGCTTAAACTGTTAGTGCCATTACAGACTGTGAAATACCAGCCAAGCTCCACTCCAGAGCTCGCTGTCTCAGCATATGCGATTTTTCACCAGGCCCTTTGGATAAGAAATGGTTTTCAAATGTATAAACACTAATCCACCGAAAAGTAAAAAGCTGCCGGCCTCAAAAGGAGCTGTGTGATAAAAAGAGCAGCTTCTAGGGTCTCAAACCTCCAGTGTCTCAAGCTGTCACAACGGCAGCACATACAGAGCTGACAGATCCAAAGCTGCTGATAAACTGTTCTTGATCCGTAACTTGCAAGTGCCCCAGGCAACACTTACCAGTAAGTACCAGCCCCCTGCGATGTCAGTTCCATGCCATCAACAGAGTTGTAGCTGTCATCATCCATGATTTTGGAAAGTCCAAAATCTGTGATTTTTATCTCTCCACATGCAGTACCATTGACTAGAAGAATGTTACCTAGACAGAGGAGGGAAACAGCCGCTTAGGATACACATCTCGCAGGAAAAAAACACGAATAAAATTGCATTGAACTCTGCATGAGAGGACAAGGAACCTACATTGCAAGCTGCAGCAGCCTGGGGCAGATGTTTTAACACTCAGTACCCCGTGCTCCAGAGACAACTCAGCTCCCACCAAGTGCTAGAAAACAATCTGCCCAGAGGCCTGACATCCTTGGAGCCTCCAGATTCTGAGCCCTATTAACCAAATAAGCTCGATGCTCATGCTGTTTTGACCCCTCCCCAAGGTCATGTTGGAAGGGCAGGTCAAAAACAAGGATTAAGGAGAGAAGTACACGTACACAATCATGACTCATTCTGCCCAGAAGTCCTGACTTGCCCTGGCCTCTCAATAAACCAGAAACTCTCTCCTTCCTGGCAAGTGCTCCCCAGTGGCTTTCTAAGCTCAAAAAGGACAATTACTGCTTAGGCAAGAGTGTCTTCCAAATCCATCAAGGATCAAGATGTCAGCTCATCACTGTTTTTTCTTAAAGCCTACAATAAAGCATCAGAATCGTGCGTGATGGCAGCGGATGAATCACAGCTTTAGACAACTGTAGGCAGAGCTCTGCAGCGTGCTCAGACAACGGGAGAACAGTCAGCAGCTGGGGGGAGAAGCAGGGTCACTAGAACTAGAGCAACAGCACCACCTCCCGTACAAATTCCTTGTGCTGATGCAATAAACCACATCACATACTAGTTACACAATGCTAATGAAGTGCCACCAGTACAGGGAGACAAGCCAGGGATAACTGCCCAAAGAGATGGCTGAATTTTATTGAACTAGGAAAAAAAAAGCTATGTAGGCAATATGCATCACCCCAAAAGAGAGCGCTTCCATTTTCCCCTTGTGACTCTGCCCAAGGGTAAAGAGAAATCTGCAACAACATTTGGAGAGGACCTTCCACGTGGTACTGAATTCAAAGGCAGACCTGAGCGAACAGTTTGTATGTCCTCAACTTTGTGAGCTGCCACAGGGTATGAAAAACCGAATGCTTCCAAGTTAGCTTCTGCCACCAAATTTTCAGGCAGATGATTACAGAAAGAATAAGCCAGAAGAATGGGAACATGAAACGCACTAGTAATTATGGGAACCTTTATGAAGCAATAACAGAAGCTCTCAACAGCAGAATACAAGCAGGACATTAAGAAACCAAACAGACACTTGGTGGTTGAAGGGCTTGTTCTGAACCGAGAGGCTACTTTTTCTGGAATGTTACTTCCTTGTTTTATGTTGCAATTCTGGGAGACAATACCCTTTTCACAGCATGTTCTATGCATTTTAGTTTTTTTTTCTTCTTGCAAGTGAGTTTTCCCAGACAGCCCTGACTCCTTTTTGCTGTCTGACCAAAGTAAACTTTCCCATGTTACTTATAACCCATTACCTTTCGTTAACATCCTCAAGCACGTCAGCTAGCGGCACAGCATACCTGGTTTAAGGTCATAGTGTATGATGGGAGGTTTGATTTCATTTAAGTATTTTAAAGCATTCACAATCTGCATGATAATGGATCGCGCCTCTTTCTCCGACATTAACTTGTGCTGTTTCAGGTAGAAGTCCAGATCATTTCCCTCACAGTATTCTAACACTGTACAAAACCTGGAGGCAAAACAGGAGTTGTTGTAATTAAGGCACCTGATAGAAACCACAACACTTCGTTATCACCTGTAAGACTCACGTATTTGGTCAAAATATTAAATTAAGAGTCCGCCAGCCTATTAATCCCTCTCTGAAAAAAAGCTACTGGGAGCACAGTCCCCAGTGCTCAACAGTACAAAGGTCAGAGATCCCCCATTAAGTGCTAAATCCAGAAGAGGAAAGCTGTATCAGCTGGGGCGTCTGCACAGGCCAACAAAGAGCAGGATTCACCAGTAAAGCACCACATCTGACATAAGATGGCATACTGGTTTGAGTCTAGAACACTAATGTATGTTGAAACTGCCTCAGATATCTCTGCAGTACAGTCTGTGACATTGGTGTGGACATTCTCTGGACTCTCCTGGAAGGTTTTAAGAGTCCAAATACTTTGTCTGTAGCGAATGGGTCAAAGGACACAGGAACATAACTTACGAGTCAGTATCCAGCGAAAAGTAGTCATATAGCTTAACTATTCGAGGATGATCCAGTTCTTTGTGAATTCTGTACTCTCTACACGCATGTCTGAAAATAGGAAAGTCTGAGCGTTAGTCATACAAGTGACTTCATTCTAAGTTCTGCAGATAGCAAACCCAGACATACCACACAGCAGTCCAACTTCAATCAAACCCATGCACGTTATTAAGACAAGCAAACGAGGAACTGCGCAGAACAGTTCTCGAGAACCACAGAATGTGAGTGCCTCTCAAACACTGGCAATGCTACAAAATAACTGATGTTGATTAATGGTCCTGCTTGCCAAATCAGAAAAACCTCATAATAAATCCTTAAAGGATCCAAGATAGCTGAATACAAAAATCAGCAAGTTCTAGAAAAATTCCATGATGCTTAACAGCCCAACTTCCAGGCTTCAAATCCAGCTTAGTGACTTCTTGGGGAATTAAGATCACAGCTTTATCTTTGAAGTTCTGTCAAGAAGGCTTGGCTGCCATTCTGCAGAGCTTATCTAATCCACACCCAAAGGCTTCCTGCAACCCCCTTCCAGGCCATAACACAGGTATAGTCCTGATCATCTGTGAAAGCATTAAGTATTCTAGGACGGGGAAGGCTTGCAGGGAGCACAATGCAGGTGTGTACCTGGAAAATGGGCAGGAAAAACTGACTCCCACGAGTGGAGCTTTGACATTTCTGAGAGGAGAAGCCACTTTAACACTTTCTTCATAGAGCACTCCTGGTGCTTTAAAACCTCGTGTTTATGCAAAACTGCGTGTGTGCACACGATCAAAACATTTTGAACCAAACCCTAACTTTTGCAAATAGCTGCTGGGACAGAGATTGGCTTTTGAAACGTAGCTAAGCACAGGAAAAAAAATGGCAGCCTGTTCCCAGACACCAGATAACCAAACACAGGAGGGGTTTGGAAACATGGCTGTCTGCTTTACAGCCCTACTTACTTGTGATAGTTTTCTTTCTTCTCATCTCTCCAGTTTTTATTTAACTGGTGTATTTTCACAGCTACATATCTCTGTTCTGTTAAATCAAATGCCTGCAGAGAGAAGAGCTGAAAATCAGTAGGAATCACAACTTCAAGTTAATACTGCAAAAACAGACAAGCTCTAACAAACCAATATCCCCACCCAGGAAATCAGCATTACGACATACTGAGTGAAGAGCAAACCCACATTTTGATGGGTAATTAGTTTCACTAATGAAACCAAGCAACTCTGAAAACAATTGAATATTCAGCGCTTTGATCTGACCTTCCCCACGGGCTCTAACTAATGCCGCATTTATTCTGACATTATACCACCAGCACTACAATGGGATCAGAAAGGGCAAATTACCAAAATATAGACAGTTAATCACACTGGGAAAGACCCTGCCATTGGTCCCCCAAGCTCCCTAACTCATTTTCTACACTCAGTTTAAAAAAAAAAACCCAAACATCCAGAGGATTTTCAATACTTTGTTTCACATTGGTAGCCCAGCTCTTCATCTTGAAGCACAGTACTTCAGCTTATTTAGAAGCTGGAGCATGCAATGGCAGAACTGCACAAATTCTTGTGCTGTATTTTTCCCTCCAGTTTCTTGTGATTCAGATACTCTTTGAAGAACGGACGTCTGGAATTATGTTCTTAAGAAATGCAAAAATCTTTTACCTTGCCTGAGAGCAGCAACAGCTGATAATTTATAGGACGGGGCAAAAATCTTATTGTAAGCAGACAAGGATAAACTGTGTCCATCTCAGAAGTTGTATACTTAACTCCTAATGCTTAATAGGTCGCCCAAGACCCTGGAGAAGAAGGGCTAAGCACTTTTTTGTTTTAATAACTTAGTTACAACTCTTAAGCACAGTCAGGCGTGAAGTGTTCATACCCTCTTGCTTTCATCTGCGGAGCCAAGGCTTCTTCCTTAGTCAGCAAAGCCTCCAAAGAGCAATTCAGAGTACTTACATGCAGACCACACTCTTCTTTCACTACCTGAGCAGTCTAGCCTCCCTGGTTTAGATATCTGTTGTTGTATTGCATCAAAATAGTAAATCACTGTGAAGTTTCTACTATTTACATTGGCATAGTTATTTTCATTCCGGCCAAATTCAACACGAATTAAGAACTACTGGGTACAGATGGGGAATGTTTAGAGCCGAAAATGCTTTAAGAATAGTAGTCACATAGCAAGCACCAAAGTATCACAGGTCTTGGCCATGCAAGATTGCTGACACACAAGTAATCCTCAGTTCCAAGGAAGTCCCAAGATCACACACGCACTACCCCCTCCAGTCTGCTACTTCACAGCATAAAATGAAGACACAGGGAAAAAAAGCCTTCTGCCCCCAGGAAATGAAGGCTTTGCTCTTATTATTGGAGCTATTTTCTCTTATTTACAGTGACGTTCAGGCTTGCTGTGCCATACTCAATAAAACATCACTACTTAAGGTATTTGTGTGCTGCACTTGAAGAAACAAGTGGTTTGCTTCTCTGTCCTGATAAAACCTGCACACTTGGTGCAACATTTCCTTGAAATATACATTTGCAGGAAATCTGACCCCCAAGGACAAGGGCAGAACCTGAAAATCTCAAGTCTGCTGCCTAATGCAAGCCAGATGCAACACATCCTTTGTCCTCCATCCTCCCTTCTTCCTCCACAACCACACACACCATTGAGAAAACAAGTGTAAAAATTCTGCTTACTGCAATATTTCCCTGCAAATTCAGATTACACCACAGACTGCCACTTCAAATTTACCTTATATACTTCACTGAAGCCGCCTCTACCCAGAAGATGTAGCAACAAATATCTATCATTTAGCGTTGGATGGTCTTTAAATCTGGCAAGAAAGACACAGTTTAAGAACACTGACAGAAATAATGCAATCTACTGTACAAAAAATTACAGCTACTACACAGCTTAGAAACAGTATTTTTATATTAAGAGAGAAAAATATTAAAATTGTGCTAACAACTGAGATTTGATACTATTTGATCACTTTGCAGTGATGAAGGGCTATATAATGATACCCTGATGCACTCGGAAGCCTTTGTCTTCCATCAACTTCAAGTTTATCACCATGCTGCCCCCCAGTCAAGTGACATATTAAGTTGTAACACCAATTTAAAAAAAGATTAAGTGTTTCCCATCACGAAAAATAAAAAAATACTGTACGTTCTTGTCCCTGAATCCCGTGTGCTTACTGTGAATTATCTTCATTGTGTATCCTTTTCAATTCCCTGATATGTAGATTTCTAACCCTCTCTAGCCGTTCTAACTCCGCCTGGATCTCTGCTTCTTCCTGCACAAGGAAAAAAAACAAAAGGAAAATACAACACTGTGTAAGATAACGCAGTTAGCATTTCCGCCTGATTTATGGAAATACAAATGTAATTCCATTTGTGAAGAATTTATCGGTAAATAACTCATTTGGGAGATGAGAGAGATAGTCACAGTCAACTAAGAGTCAGGTGGTGCTCACACCCACGCAGTCAGGAGCAGACATATCCTTCACGCCTTCTTGTTTTTAACATTTGCTGTAATTAAGAAGTGATGTTGCTTGGTCCTGCTCCTTCCCTGTTTAAGTGCCATGCAGCTAGTTTTGTAGGAACTCAATCTCTTCTGGGATAAGAGAAAGTAGACAGCCCTCAGAAGTGAGGAATGGGGATGTCAAGATGCCACATGGGGATGGGGTAATATCTGGAGAGGATGGAGAATGTGAGCGCACAACACTGGGTCCTATCAGCAGTAAATGGTAGAACGGGTCAGAGTGTAAGTTAGCGCTGTGGACAGTGTTGCAAACCTCAAAACACCCACCTTAAGCAGTATTATTTGGTGTATACGACTCAAGGGACATAGTTACCCATTTGTCTTGTGACTCTGTCCCCTCCCTTCTCAACTTGTTCTATTTTTAGGCCCAAAGAATGAGCCAGTTTCCAAAAGCGGAGAAGGACAAGCATAGCTTCAGACAATGCCACGATCCCAGAACGTGACTTCATTTTCCATTAAGGTCCATTTCCAAAGGGATTCCTCTGTCCCGGGGTGGCACATACATGCCCAGCCCAGATGGACCTGCGGTTAATCCCCTCGAGCAATGCGGAAGCCGGAGAGCAAGCATGCCCTCAGCGTACTCCTGCCTGTATCACTTATCTTTGCCCACAGGTCAATAAAACAAAACAGGCAGAGTGCCAGCGGATTCCATGTGCGCATTAACTTTCCCTTGCCACTGAAAATAACAAGGAGTACCGCAGCATTAATGAGGCCTTGTGTTCAACTTGTGTGTCAAGGTTACAGGGAAAAACTCAGTGTAGAGCTCAGGCACCACCGGAGAAAAGAAGGGGGACTCCAGCAATGCATTTGCACACTTCCTCTTTGTTTCATATGGGAAATAAAACTCTTTGGCCTTAGAAGACATCACAGGTAATCAGGAAATGGCAGAAGACATCAATTTTTTTTTCAGTACATCATCTGTTGAAGTGTCCCAGAAAACTTATTTATAGGTTAGTGCAGTCACTTCAGAGGTAACCACCAGCTTAGCTAAATATAACCTCACTTGCAGGTACAGCTCCTACTGAAGCCGATGCATTTGAAAACAAACGTGCATTACAACTACCTCAACAGTACTAGTTTCCAAAAGCCCAAGAGATTTTATTGGACTGTTACTGGTAATGCTGGTTAGTCGATATTGCAAAGAAATGGGAAAGTCAATGATGGTTGCAGTTTTTGTTGTGTTCTTATAATTTTCTTCCCCTGGTCCATCGCTTCATGATCCCCCACATTAGACACGTACAGAGCCCAGCACCAGGCAGGTCACAGTGACAGAATAAGATCTATTAAAGCTCCCTGCATGAAATCTCAACTGTAAGGACACAGAAATCTATTTATTGCTGCAAAGAACATTACTGTGAAAAAAATATTGCAAAATCCTGGCCAACCTTTTCAAGCAACAAAAACCTCTCGATTATCAAACAGTGGTGACCTCTACATAGAAATGCTATTGGTCATAGAACACTGAATTTAAAACCCACCTAAAGCCTTCTCTGCTGTTAGTTCTTACCTTTTTAAGATGACCTAGTCGGAGTTTGAAGATTTCTTCCTGTTCATGGTATTCTGCTAACGTTAACCTGCACGGAAGAGACAGATCCGATGCGTTAGGTTTCAACGCATGTGATAAAGAGAACAGTCCACAGAACGCACGTCTCCAGTGGAAGTGACAACTACGCAGAGCATGTCAACAGCTGGCAGAGAATTTTTTAGGTAAACTCTCCAATCTATCAGCACGAGTATTGGACATCTTATTTTCCCATTTGAAGTTTACTTTAATGACTAATTTTCAGATTTTTCTTTGCAATGAAAGCTGGATAATTCAACCCAGCTATTCACTCCAGGACTAGCAGTACACCTGCCCACAGAACCCCTGCAAACAGAGCGACCAGCTGGGATTCAGAACTTCTTCCTGTTTCAAACTCTGAAGTGGCTTCCAGGGAAACCCTGGGAAATTTACTTCACCTTACCGTACCTTTGACCTCATGTGTAGTTAGGAGAAGCAACGGGATAAGGGGAATAAACACCATTTTACTAACAGTAAATGATGTGCAAAGTTTCCATCCTAGGCAGCTGGACAAAAAGTTTCGTACTGTTTTCAATGTCTTTTATAGCCAAAGCATGCCACGTAGGACAGAGGCAAAGCACAGCCTGACACTAAAACAATGACAAATCCCATCACTTGTAAAATGTAATGATGTGGCGAGACCTTGAAGGTTAGAAAAATGAATTGTTATATTGATTGTCACTACTACCAACAAGGAGTTTGGTAAAAGCATCACACATGTGATATAAAGCTACAAAGCCCGTATCAACTGCATCTGTTTACTTCATAAACAAGATACACATATGACTGTATATAAATATATTTTTCGAACCCAAATCGAGTTCAAAGTGTATCCCAGGAGGATCCCTGTTGCAGCAGTTATGCTCTGAATAGTACCCAGTACACAAGTTAGCGTATGAGGTCTCCAGAGCTTCAACACCACAACCAGTTTCAGGAGGGGACCGAGTCCTGGGTCTGTGCTGGGCCGTGGGACCTTGGCTCACTGTGCAGCAAACCGAGAGGCTGATGAAGCGCTCATCTTGAAATGCACCAACTACTCTCCACTGTTGATAATGCAGAGGGTCCACATAGTTGAAATAACTGCAAAAGGAGTTGCTAACTGATAAATTTAATACAAAACTCACAAGCCAAGTTCCCTCTAAAAGAATCTTGACCATAAGGAATTGCTTATTACAAACTAATGAAAAACACAGACAGTACCATCGATGTTTAAATGTTGTCTCATTTCATATGAAAGCACGCTAATTCACACCCCTTCCCCAATTTCAATCAGATTCAGCTAATCTAAAAGACCATCCTCAAAGTTTAGGTCGTTGGCTGGTGTTGCTGTATAAGGAACAAAAAGACAATCGAACAAAGCAGCAACAAGCTTTCCACATACTCTTGTGCACAAATGAAACACAGGGCTGAACACCAGCAGCCTTCGCATTCAGCAAGAGATGTAATGAGTACCACCAGGGTAACACTGCCCAAAATAGCTGCCTGTTAGCAGTGAGCATTGCAAAAATCAAGGGGGCTCTAAGACAAACACTGCCCTGTTCCACAGAAACATGCTTGAAATACACTTCTTCTAGTGCCGCTGAAGACTCTAAGGTTGCCCAAGCTGCCCTAACAAACCTCAAAAAGCCCCAGCAGATTAATCATCCCGAATGAAAATATTTTTCTCATTCACAGGCTAGAAACTAGTTTCAGAATAGCGTGTGTAGAAATTTGCATCATGGGACCTTCCTCTCCTTTGTAAGACACAGCAACAGACATGAAGCAAAGAGGAACCAAAAATCAAATGAAGGAATTTGGCCATCCACTTCTCATTCAACTTTTAGAAACATTTATATTCAACTTGTGCCTAAATGACAGCCTCTGTAAGAATTCCACATGAAAAAGTCTCCCTCCAAAAATCAGAAGATTTTGTACCTGATACACTTTAGTCCAACAAAGGGATTTACAGGATAACTAACAATTAAGCAAGTAGTCGGTCAGTACAGTTGGTTCAGCTGACTTGCAAAACCAATATTTTCACAAGCTAAAACACTCCACACGAACCACATCCATTCACTGGCAAGCAGTCTTTATTCAGAATGCCACAAGAAGCTCTTCTAAACCACAAAGATAAAACCCTTATCAACAAGGAATGATAAACCAGCAACAAACACAGAGAAAAAGACCCAGTAGCACAAAAAGGCTTCCTAGCAAACCCAGGCAAAGCCGGATTACATCACGGCAGGCTCACAACACGGGCAGATCATGATTTCCAGGCACATCAAGACCTGTGCTGCTGTGTCTGCAGAACAAGCCATGCTACAGCTGCACCAGTCTGCTGGGAAAAAACATCCCTGCAGGAGCCTTAGAAGAGACAGGTTACCACAATCAACTGTGACATCCGTGCACAGACATTCAATTCACTTCTGCAAACTCAAACGCCACAATGCAAGAGGACTCTTTAAAACTTTATTTAGTTGTTTTTAAGCTCACTTGGCCAGAAGGTGTACATGTCTCTACTCAAGCTACTTACTTGCAGAAAGCACCCAGTGCCCTCCAGTGCAACACACCTGACCAGCACACACCCGCATCCTTTTTGGGGACACTGTCCTGGTTGCTGAGAGCACCCCAAATACCACAATTCACCCCATCATGTGCCACCTCTGCTGTCACTGCAAAAGGCCGCGGGAGCTTTTGCTTCATATGCACTTTTAAAGATCAAGACCAAGAATTTGAAGGGTTCCAGGAACTTTGAGGTCAAGCCTTTGAAGAAGTTGCTAAGCCACTATCTACCATATTCAGGAAGTCGTGGCAGCCTGGTGAAGTTCCCACTGAGTGGAAAAGGGGAAACAATCCCCATTTTTGATAAGGGAAAAAAGGAAAACCTGGGGAACTGGAGGCTGGTCAGTCTCACCTCTGTGCCCAGCAAGATCATGGAGCAGATCCTCCTGGAAACTATGCTAAGGCACATGGATAACAAGGAGGTGATTGGTGACAACCAACACGGCTTTACCAAGGGCAAACCTGTACCAAGAAAACTGGACAGGGACTTTTTACAAGGGCATGTAGTGATAGGACAAGGGGTGACGGTTTGAAGCTGTAAGAGGGGAGATGGAGATGAGATGTGAGGAAGAAATGTTTTCCTGTGCGGGGGGTGAGGCAGTGGCCCAGGTTGCCCAGAGAAGCTGTGGATGCCCCATCCCTGGAGGGGTTCAAGGCCAGGCTGGATGAGGCTTTGGGCAACCTGGGCTAGTGGGAGGTGTCCCTGCCCATGGCAGGGGGTGGCACTGGGTGGGCTTTAAGGTCCCTTCCCACCCAAACCATTCTGGGATTAGTTATGCCCAGGAGATCTAACAGTGCAAAAAGAAAAGTGTCACTGAGAGTTACGGTATTAGCCAACAGCAGTAAAATGAAGAATGTAAAGAAAATAGGTAGAAGGTAGGGGAAAGTCTCTGACTTCATGGATTTCCAACTCACACAAACTTCCAAAAAATGTTCTGAATTTCTTGTGAGACACAGCTTTCCTCTCTAAGACCACTGCGACTCTTAGAGCGTCAGTAACGTCAAAAGAGGTAGAAAAAAACAAACTGTAAGAAGAAAGAGTAGCAGTTCAACTACCTTCCCATTTCCCTGATTCAGGTATCTGCAGAGGGCTGCTTTGGAGATTCAAGTCAATGATTCAAGTCAACTGTTTTTACAGAGAGCATCTTTTTTCTTCAGAATATCACATTAACTATTTGAAAAACCTCACTACAAAGTATATGGAAATAAAGGCTAAGTGTATGCATTTTTTTTTCCTTAAAAAACCCCACCACATATCACACAGTGATACCAAAATCAATTCTGAAGTTGCAACATTTAAAAAAAAGACACCACTTTTCAAACTTGATGCAACAGGAATACTGAAAAAGTTAACTGCATAAAAAAAAGTTAAGCTCATACAAAGTCTGGACTCAGCAGTGATCCTTGTTTTACTCCAATGAAAACTATTTAGAACTGGAGCCAGATGTTGCTGAATGCCAGGCTAATTCCACAATATTCATTTGTGCATGGAGTGAAGCCTAGAGGCAAGGGCAAGATTCCATTTCTCAGTAGATATTTTGTGCTCTAATCAAAGCATGCAGCTTTGCAATGCACCAAGAAAGCCACGTAACCTACGTTTCATTTTCTGCTCCATTAGTCTTGTTCTTGCGCTGCTTCTGCTCATTGCTTGCTGGAGGGGTCTGTCCCATTGCAGGTGGCTTCCGTTTTGCTAGCATTTTTCTTTGTCTTTCTATTTCTTCCCGCTGGGAATTTATCCTTTCCTGTTGCCTGGGAAGATGAGAGCAGAAAAAACATGAAGTAGATAACTAATGGTACGTACTCGATTGTCTTCAGCACCTGCTCTTAACAGACTGGAGCAACAAATTCCAAATCAGTTGTACTTGTAAGACTAGTAAAAAAATATTTTCATACAGAAAAGGGGGATGTGCCAAGCATTATGACTCAGATTTTTTTTAAAGGTATTTTTGCATAAAAGGGGATTCTTTGCCTGGCCCAAATAAATCTTTCAGTAAGTGAAAGGTTTTATTCATGCAGAGGATATCCAAAACCAAGGAGTTGCTAACCTCACGGAAAACCCAGAATCCATGGTAAGTCACTAACTTTCCACACTTTTTCCTAGAAGGTTCTGTTCTAAATCTCAGACTTTCCTGTTAAAACTACTCCTCAAGTCTGGCACTGTCTGAGAAACTATCCTTGTTCTTCAAGGGTACAGTTAAACTATCCTTAGTTCTCTGAAATACAACCACCACCATTCCTAATTTCACTAAGAAAACAGCCTCTCCTCCAAGGTATCTTAAAACATTTCAGTGATAAAAGCATTCTTGAAATTTCAAGTGTAAATGACTTGAGCATTTAAATACTTAATTCACTTTTTAAAAGAGACTGAGGCTGCAGGTAAATATTCCAGAAGTACTTCGTCTATGTCTGTGGTGGGTTACAGCACAAACTAAGGAGGAATTATAAAGTCCTTAATCTGCGCCTAACAAGAGCTGTACCTTCCTATCAGGCTACAGAGAAGTGATACGATTTTAAAGGATCACACATAGCTCCCCCTAATGCAATTAATTTGCCAAGTCCTACTTAAAGGTCTAGGCCAGCTGGGAATTTACTGGATATTTCCATTAACATCCTGCATAAAAGGGTCTCTGATCTTCATTTCCAGGTTTCTGCAGCCCCTTTGATCACTGTTACCAGGAGGCAAAAAAAGTTAAATAGTATGGATTTTCTCTTTTAAGCTTCTCTGCTTTCTACTTTGAAAAAAAGAAAAGGAGCTAATTAGCCTTTCTTGACTAATATATACAGCTATGCAAATCAAATTGATTGACTCAAGATACACGTGCGAATTTGGTCCATCCCTCTACCCTAGGCACTGCACAGCCAGGTAGGTGCCCTGAGAAATGCTTGACAGGGCAGCCTACTGCTTCCCAGCCCAGAGGCCAACTCAAACAATTTGATTCCAGTTCAAGTCTCTGGAGGTTTAAGTGGAAACATATTTCTCTCATCAATGGGAAACTGTTCCCCATTGTCAGCAGCCGAGTTTCTATCTGATCCTTTCATGCATCAGTCACCATTCTCACATTTTGACATGCAAGACATCACACACAACTGCTTAGTTTTTCCCGTCTCTGCCTCTGAAGTTAAAGACAACTCTGTTTGTCCTCACTTGATGAGGTTCTGGAAGGCATAGCCATCTGTCCACTGCTCGGTGAAAGACGCCCCGTGCCGCACCGTAGTGAAGTGACCTAGCCTCAATCGATCCTGCATGCTCTTATCTCGGCATGCCATCTTCTCCTGTTTTGACTGAAACCAAAATAAAACACATGTTAAAATACAAGCCATAAATTAGCAGCTAAGAGCCGTGCTGTGTACCAATTCTTACTGCTTTTCATTGTTTCAGTACTGCTTATCTGAAACCCAGTGGAAAATAATTGATCAAATTATTGCTGGTGCTTCACGCTGGTCTGACAGGCATTTGTCTCCCTCCGTTCTGACATTTCAGTCTCACCTTTTCTTCCCCATTACTGCTTGGGCAGCTCACACCCATTCTATCATCAGTTAGAATCAGTCTAGCAGTAGGATTAAAACTATCCTTTTGTATCAGTAGCTTAGCTAGACTCCAGCCATGGCTCTGATCAGGGCTTTATTCACTCAAACAGGAGATGAAGGAAGAAAATGCACCTTGAATCCCTGTTGAGACTAAGATACAGTGATCAGCCAGCTCAGTCCCAGACTTGCACCACTCCCAGAAGTGACACAATCTCAATTAGGTCACCAACACACATAAAAATCGGTGGTGGTGTCTCTCACAGAGTATTTCCATTAAGCGAGAGGAAATTTCCAAGGCCTGAGATGAGAGCAGCAAAGCTTCGGTCAGTTGGGATTAAAGATGACCCAGCAAAGCTCCTCACTGGAGCTATACAGCACCCACCTGAATGCCAGGTCTATGTACCACCTCGCCCAGAGTTACAAATCCTCCCAGAAAAGGGAGTCCCGTTCAGCCAAGAACAATCAGCTCTGTGACAAAACCAACTCAAACAGACTGCACGTACTGGCCAGCACCCTGGTAGTTTTGCCCATCCAGTGCCCACAAACAATAGATGGAATTGGCCAACAGGTGAAAGAGCAATCAAGCCCCCTCATTGTTCAGCCATCAGGAAATCTGGAAATCTTTCAACACTGGAGCAGGCTGGACACTGGTAAACAGCAGCCTGGCACTTTCCCGAGTGTCTTTAATGTGTTGTTTTGAGTGTTATACAAAGCAACGATCTCCAACTTTGCCATTTGAGAGAAGGAAACGTCTAAATCACTCGCCCCTGTCACAGAGCATATCTGGCAATTTTGCTGCACAATGGGATACTGCTCCTGTCTTGCCAGAGCTGGACAATGTTGCTTTTCGGGTGTGTGAGCTTACAAATCAAATAATGCCTGCCGCATTTAGAGCACAGACTATTTCACTTAAGCAAGGGAGATCACTCTATGAAGAGTGACCAAACCAAACCAAACCACTGTGAACCATTTCAGTTCAGCATTACATTCCTATTTGCAGAGAAATAATCCAAGACAGAATTCCAGTTGTCTTTTCTCACTATAGCAATAGAAGCAGGTTTTCACTGCTCAAAAGAAGATAAAAATTTTCAAAGACGTGAACTGTGACTGACAGGATGTGGAAAGACCTCTGCTCACCTTTTCTATAAGAAGCTTCTTGCTCATCGTTACACATCTATTCAACCGCTCCTTGTACTTCTCCAGCATCTTTTGCTGTTCATCTATCTGCCGTCTCAAATCGCAGTTGGCCTAAAAGCAAACAGAGAAGAAAAGCCTTTGACTTTAAACAACTCAAGGAGCCAAACCAAGCATCACCTAGGAAGAAGTTTCTCCAGCTAGCTCTAGGCATTGGATTAAAGAAAGCAAACCAGCAGGGTAAGAAAAAAAAGACCAGGTTCCTCTCATCAAAACATCCAAGCCAAGCTCTTCAATTTTTAACCCACTCAAAACTTAACACCCCTCTAGCACAGGGAAGTGCTATCATCCTGGTTTACATATAAGGAATTAAGGAGCAAACAGGCTGAACACAAGGAATTTTTTTTTTTAAACATTTAAGACTTCGCCACAGCTACCAAGTCTCAAAATAACTTAGTCATCCCTGGACTATCCTCACTCGCTAGCCATAATACTGGCAGAGGAAAAGGATGGGGTAACTCCCTTTGCACTTCCAATTCAATTCTTGTTTTGAGTTAGTAACCATCAGTCTCGCTACACAGGCTGCTCCCAGTAACAGCTGCGGGATTTTATGTGCAGCCATTTTTATTGACAAAAAGTTAAATTTAACCATCTCCCTTCCAACCAACAGTGGATGGTAAAAAAAAAAAAATTTTTCCTGCTTCATGGATTGTTTTCCACAAACCCACATGTGCCACTGTGTCTGTCTGTACAAGCCTGTTTTAGGTCTTTTAGGTGCTGAGATCAGACACGCACAAACACAGAGAGCCTCCTCTCTTCTGCCTTTAATGTATTTTCTAATCCTTTTCATCACTTCACAAGAGATGCCTCTCCAGCTGATGAAAGCTAAATCAATTAGACCTCCTTCATTAAGACAAGATCCTTGATTTAAAGGTATTTATCTTTTACTGAAGAACACTAATGGGCTAAATAAAGCTTCATTCTTTTGGTTTGACCAAAAGATGTTCTCCTCATCCCTATACACGTCACCGACTCTCATGAATGCACATTTCAGAATACAACTTCCCAGTCATATTGAGAGGCTACTGAACATGCTGCTCAAAAAAAAAAAGCAAGAGAGTCAGCTCCCCGGTACTTAGAAGAGGGGAATAATTCTGCAGAGAAACATGTTAGGTTAACTAGAAAATACACAAGTGTACAACAGATCAAAGAAAGTCCAACAGTGCTGCTGAGGACACCACGATGACTCTGCACTGTATAGCCACAGCCGCTGCTACACTGCTTGTGGATTCAAGCAGGCCCAAACAGAGTACCTACACGCCAGACAATTATCTTACAAGTACAGGATGACCGGATTTGTTTTACCTTGTGAGTGTTGGTTCTACAAACGGTATACAAAGTCCTGCTCTGCAGCCTAGCTGGCACATCCATCCTAGGTATCTTTAAATAGCAGCTTTTAGAAGAGTTGTCCCACTTTAAATACTTACTCTTAATAAGTCATCTATCCTCCCCTCCTTCTTCTCCAAGTCAGAGTTCTTACTGTTTTCTAGTGCAGATATTTTTTCCATTGTGAGGTCATTAAAATCACCATAAACCATATTTAAGAAAAACAGAAGATATTTCAGGCAGTCAGCACTGTGTAAACACATCACGGTGTAAACCCCTCTGATCTGAACAGTTACGTCTAAGAAGAAGGAACTGATCCCCTGCATCCCAGCAGTCGGGTGGTGGGTTCCTCCAGCACAGGAGGTTCAGTCAGCTAGCACAAGGCTGCTCTGGGGAACACAAACTGGTAACACGTAAAGGGTTACAATATTCTCAGTGTCCTGGAAATTTTGTTTTTTCAGTTGAGTTCTGCCCACTCCTTGGTGGTCTTTGACATTCCTTGTCCTTTCCTGCAGTGCAACATAGCTTGTACAGAAAAAAGGCTTAAAAAAACCCCCCACCAAATCCCAACCCTCAGCTGGAATATCAAATTTATGAGATCTTTCATGGGCACAGACAACCATCTGCTAGACAAAAGACAATACCTGTGGGTTCTAAGGTGGTTTTAACTGAAAACACAGCTCTTCATTTTAAAATATTACAACTTTTTTTTCAGGAATATTAGGCAGAAGTTTTTGTTTCTAACAAACTGATGTATTAGTGTCCACTAGAGACAGGAGCTTTACAGTTCTGGAGTGAAACCTATCTGTAAAGTTTTATAAGGCGCAGCACATCTCAAATACCTTCAGCAATGAAGTGAGGGTTATACCCAGAACAGAACACAAGACACGTATGCTGTATTCTCTAGCAGTAAGAATATTTCACTCTCAGCACCCTGATCAATGGGTGGGGAAGAAGTCAGTATGTACACGAACACAACATCTTAAAAGAAAAAAGACAACACAAGGCAAGGCAATCTCGCTCCACGGCTGCATACACAGATTTCACGCTTATGGCTAGCAAGCAACTCTCCTGGTTCTGAGAAGAGTTAGCAGAGACTTACCTGTGGAGTTGTTACATAACTGTTCTCCAAATTGCAGGCTTGCCTGGAACCTAACACCACGGAGTAAGAGACAAACTTGGCGTTCTGTCACTTCCCTACATTTGCCCAGTATGGGAGGGATCAAAAAGAACACCTGCCAGCATTGCACATCAAGCAAGATGAGCTTAAACCCCAAAAGTCAAAGAGGAGACCTGGGCAGGTCACCCCACCTGTGCCTTAACTTTGCTTATGCTTCCAGACAGCCTGCAAGAAGCACCTGTGACACAAGTTTTTGTCACTGAAGGCAAGGAGAAGGCTGCCTGTTGAAAATCTAGGCTGTGCTCACTCTGTCAAGCTGCAGAAGGTTTCTTTAGCAAGTGACTGTTATGTCATTTTGCCAAAAGCACAGACACCATGTCGGATGGAGTCATGCTTCAGGATGCATGCTCCGAGATGTGACTTCATCACTGTTCACCTTGTCTCAGAGCCCTTGGAGGGCCCTAGCACTGACCGAAAATGCTAAGAAAATCCTGCTCATGCTGACTTGCTTTCAGCATTGCCAGAAACAATTCAAACTGGAAATCACTAAAGATTTTTTTTAACCCTATCAACTCCAAACAGGTTTGGAAGGGAAAAATGAGAGTGTATACATGTCCTCATCAGGCAGTCAAGCATCTTTCTGGATGCTTTGCCTTAAGCGTGTGCTACATCTAGACCTCTGGAGAATACCATCGAGCTGAGCATTGACAGAAAGGACACTCAGCTAACGTGTCACCCTATTCAAGGACCATGGACCCTGTGGGCATGCTAAGCACAGGAGTGAATAAAAACATCTTGCTTACTCCGGGAGGGACCACTATTTTAAGTATTGGTGTTGGGACAGCAAAGATAGAAATTGGAAAGTTATCCCTGGCACGTTTGAGTTATGGCATCATTCTCACCCAAGAATTCTCCACGCACTAGCAAGAAATAGGGATCTGCACAGACCAGCATTTAACACTACAGACAACAAAATGTGACCCTTATGACAGAGCTCAGAGACTTAAGCTGGTTAAGTACCCCCAGAAGCAGAATTGCTGTTCTTCATGCACAAAGAACTTGTACCACCTGCTGGGGAAATGGAGAATGAACTTCCCCCAGCAATAAAATAATCTCTGACACAGAATGATGTGAGAAAATGATTGACACAAAACTGACTGTTTAAAAGTCACTCAAGGGAAGGGTCAGTCACAGAGAAATCAGAGATGAAAATCAAAAGAAGATTAAAAGCATGCTTGGAAAAGAAATAAGGTGCATTGTAGATAAAGCTGAACATCCTTATAAGCAACAGAGGAAGATGACACAGCTAAAAGTAAATCCCGCCATAAAGCCACGAGAATAATCTCAACAATTTAAAAGGCACAAAAGAGACAGCAGCACAGACAAAAGAGCTACTCCTCTTCTTGACTCCAGATCAGTGAAGCTGCTGAGAAGCACTGTCAGGAACACACCATGTTCCACCTTGACAGGACAAACAATGCCATGGGTGTACTCTGCAGAGGCCAAAGAACTCCCAGCTAGACTGGGGATATTGGTACTGAAAGAAGTATGGATGCACCCACGACTCAGAGCTTGAACAGAGGCATTCACAACTATCACTCAGGTTTCCTTCACATCTTCACTTAGTAGAAGAACATTCAGGATACAACAGAACCGAGACAGAGCTAAGGTGTTCCTCTCCTGAGCACATCTGCACGCAGCTGAAGAACTGCCCACAGGACTGACAGAGAAAAGCCTCTGTAACAGATTACGTCAACTTCAGCAGCAGCAACCAAAAAGCATTCTTTACAGGATAAGGAACAAAGTTCAGAGTGATTCACTTCAATCAGCAGTTACAAACAGAGTTCTACTGGAAGCATTATCTCTACAAGTGGCATCCTCTGGTGTGGAAGACAAGGTGCATCAAGCTTCAATCTCATATCCAAGAGATGTATCATCTAGTGAGCTATACCTGTGACTGTTTGTGCTGGATGGAAATCTAGGAATGCTCAGTGTTCCCTGATCCGGTAGAAGATGGGCTGCCTTGCTGGGCCTGCAAAAGAAAGTCAGGGTATTGTTATAAGCTCCTCAGCACCATCACTAGTGCCCATGCAGATACACTTATTGTTACATGGGAGGTGCAGCCCGCCCTCGGTACCATACTTGCACGTTAAGGTTTAAGAATGCTCCAAAGATTTAGTTCATTAAAACAAGAAAGTCAGTTTCTTTCAAGAAGCCTGGCCCAACCTGCTAAAACAGAAAGCTTTAAAAAGCCTAATATAATTCATGTCAGCTGAGATTAAGCGAGGCCAAAACAAACACTTCTCACAGCAAGACTATGCTTCATTCTTTTGCTTTTTTGCATCTATCAGATTAGCCTCTCAGATGTTATTATTTTGATCTACTTAAGACTTTTGAGTCATTAACTTAAAACTCCTGTAATTTTTATTAAACAAGCGAAGCCTGGGACCTAGAACTCTTCACAAGGAAGATGAACTTACCAGAAGATGGTAGACTTGGTCATCAATAAACCAGGCTGCACTTGAACCACTGTCTTTGAGCAGAAAAGCTTCAAAGTCCCCATCCCTTAACTAGAAACATCTCTTGGGATTCAAATCTTTTCAGAGCTGCTCACCGAGACAAAAGTAAAACAGAGGCCACCTCCCCTCTGTGCCAGCTGCTCATTCTCTAGCCGCTGTTTCGCCAGCATCACCGACATCAGCGTTGGCAGAGCAGAGTGTTCCTCCTGCGGTTCCTTTGCTGTGCTGCCGTCTACCCCATACAGCGGCTGCTCCACTCGCCGCTGTAACACAGTCAAGAAAAATACAATGAACTTTTTTTTAAAATTTTTTTTTTAAAAAGCGAATTCTCTGACTCTGCCAAAACTGTTGTCAGCGAAGCAGCAGCTCAGGAATGGGCAGGCAGCATGGTGAGGATCTGATAACTCTAACAGGACTCCTGGAGTGATTGTTCCAATGGCAGACATCAAAAAGTTGATGAAGTTAACAATTAAAAAAAAAAAAGAAAAGTAACACATGAACACACAGGACAGAATTCCTTGTCAGCTAATAACAGCCTTCCTTTGCAAAAACATGTGTTTCAGAGCCAGTGGGGCAAAATAGGTTGTAGATGCAAAATTAAGTGCATTGTGACTTTGGTCAATGCAGTCTAAACTATACTACTTGATGTTTTTTAAGGACTAATTTTAAAACAGACAATGCCACAATACATTCATTATTCTCCTGAAGTAAACAGTCTGAACTGCCAAACATCAGCAACCTAACCATGTCTAGACCCAGACATCACAGTAACCTCATTTCTGTCACTACAGCTGGGACCAATCTCCTGCAAGATAAGCCAAGTACTAACGTGTCTCCAAAATCTGTAAAGAGATGCATTCCATCTCTTAAAGGCCAGCTCCTTTCTCCTGCAGTAGACTCGTTTTCCAACTGCGATACAGAAATGGGGTTCAATAAGAAAAAAAATCACCTGAGCTACGTTGATTACAGCACTCGGAATCTCACTGCCCTCTCTTTCAAAGCCAGCCCATCACTGCTAAAACTTGGCAGTCTGGGTAATAACCACCTAAGTCCTTCCAAGCTGTAACTCCGGGCCAGGCATACACCACATAGAAAGTAAATAGTCAGGTCAGGCTTTGGTTTTTCTTAAAAACCTAAATTGCAACTTGAAGTGTATTTTCTGGCTAATGTTACAAATGTCAAGAGTGTGCTTTCTTCCCTAAAAGAACACTTGTATATGAGAGCGACCTTGCAAGACTCTGAAGACCTGCACATCATTCTTCTGCTCAAAGGAGAAGCGAGGCAATTCAAAGCAGTCAAGAGATTTGAAGACAAGAAGTAACATCCTGAAGCCATTACAATTCCTCTGCAAGTTCTGATTGCAGAAAATGTCCAGTACCATCTAGATTAACTCACAGGTTTGGAGGAGGTTTGTCTCATAGTGAAAGACATTTGAACGCTCTGCTCTCTTCCTAGACCATACTGACATCTGTAATGGGTAAGATACTCAATCTTCTCCCATTTTCACCCATCCCCCTGTTTTTTGGGGCTTAGCTCAAACCATTGATACTCAGTTTGTAACAAGAGGACAGATCTTGCAAATGCACATAACAGTTTGTTAGGAATAAGCAAACGTTACAGGTTTAGCTGCAAGAGTAAAGAACAGAAGATAAGAAACACAAAGAGCACCTGCGTAAGGAGAGAGACAAACTGGCCTAGCTGAACCTAACTGTAACATCAGCCTTCACCATATAAGAAATACTTTGTTCAAACTTTTACCTAATCAATACACAGAAGTGTAAAAGAAAAAAAATCAAAGGAAGAATCAACTTGTCCCAGTATAAACACCTGTGGGGTATCTCACCTGCTGGAATAAAGAGCTGTCCCTAACACCTCAGGCACCTGCAACATTCTGAGGTGGTATTTCTTTCATTAACTTCTCTTTAAAGAGGTGTTAGTGAATTAAAATAAGATAGGAAGAAGGGCCATTCAATTAACAAGATACATTTTAATTTTTATAAACAAAAAAGATCTAGAAGCATATCCGAAGCTCTCCCTTTAAGCAGCATTACGAAGCTTCTGAAATCTAGTGACACATACTGAATTCTGAGCAGAGGATCCAGTGTTGGGATTTAGTTCAGTACACATTCATGAACTGTGCAAAGGTCTCCGCAGAATAATGTAATCAGTAAAGACTTTGCATTTGGTTTTCAGAATACTAACCTTTCCCATAATGCTCTGTACTTTTGTGACACTCAACAAACGCTGAAGATTTTTAAAGAGGGGCCCAAGCAATGTTCAAAACTAGCGATCAGACACCAGAGCCTCTGAATATTGCTCTCCTAGTTGAAAGAAATTTCTTTAGCTGCTCTGTGCTAAAATGGCTTAAAAATACTTGTTATTTCTTCACATTCAGATCTTGCAGAAATGCTGCGACAGCAAAATGGAATTATGTAACAAAAACACAGCAACAGATGTGCAAGGATACACATTTCTCTGCAAGCTTCTGCTAACGTTCCTTACAAGTCATATGCACGTCAGCAGAAGACTTTCCCAATATAATTATGGATGCACGTTTGTCAGTATCCTCAAAGGGTTCAACTGAGATCAGAATATCATTGCAGTAGTGCTATACAAACATACAACACACTCCCAACTCCACGGAGAAGTTAATGAGCCACAGTGGAATACAAGATAACTAATGTGTCAGTTCCACCATTTATTAACCACACAGCATCCTAAAAACATTCATCGTGCATGCTTTAAGCCCAGATATTCATACCAGTTACAACTGGACTAGCAGTTGTTACAGGGTCCCAAACATCTGGCTGTGCTGCCAAAACCCAGTTTCAGATTTGGAAAAAAAAGAACTGAATAGAAAATAAGCCAAACCACTCACCAAGAGACCCTTCTTTCCCATTCAGAACTTTTATTACCTGTCTGAAGCACAGCCACCAAGCTACTCAATGCCATGCCACCAGCTCTGTCCCCAGGGAGAACACTTACCGGCAAGGGATTGGACAAGGAATGCTGCGGTGAGGATCTGGCAACAGGCGGCACACTTCTACCGGGACTGGTTCCTGGGCCACTTCCCCCAGCAAACTGGCCAAAGCAACAGATTTGATCATCAGTAATTCCAGAGATACTATATTTAAGCAAATTTAACAGAGACAGAAGAAACACCTAAAAAATGAAGCCTTATAGGCTCCAGCGACTCGCTTAAACAAACTGAATATAAGTGTACCACACTTATAAAAAAACTTTAGCCAGGAAAGAAGCAAGCACTAATAAGCAGTTAATTTCTGACTCCAAGTTACTCAGTAAAATAAAGAACAAACTTAAGGGAAAAGCTAGAGCTCTGGATTGTGCAGACCTAGAAAAACTCAGAACCTATGCAATAAAAAAAAAAACCACTGATTTTTAGAATGTCGATTGCTGTTTTGGGGAGGGGTCTCCATCTCCTGGGTGGTGCCAGCATCCCACGGCAAGCTTTTCTAAAGAGGGAACCCTGCAAACTGCTTCCTAATCAAATGAGCGGGGCTTTCAGGTACGTTCTTTTGCAGCACTGGACCCTTATCAAAACAGGTTTGCACACTAAGAGATATCTTCATCTAAGATCCACGTTCCAATGAAAATCAACCCCGAATCTATACTTACGTGGCTGCTCTTTTAAAAAATTGCTTTATCAACTGTCCACAGAATTGTTAATTTAAAAACCAACTTCCAAAAATCCCATATCCTCTACCTAACCAGATTGGAGCATATCCGATTAATATCGTCAATCAATGACTCCAATGATGGATCAGCAGCAGAAGTCACATTACAGACTTCCATCTACAGATTCTGCACAATGTGAATTCAGGCAGACTTCTCAGACAATGTAAAAGATCCTTACCTCAAAATAATCACTAATTTTATGTCCTCTAGGAGTGCCTTTTCCTAAAAAGGAAAACAAAAGATGAAAATAAGAGTCGATGTTTTTAAGAACAGAAATGTTGAAGCCCTTCTAAAAACTACTCCTATATTTTGACTCTCCTTTCCCTGTAGAAAGGTGCAACACCTATCACAACAAAAGCTGCACAACAAAAGACTGCCCCTAGGGTTACAGCTCTCCTGCTGTTGTTGGGAGGATTTACAGTTGACAATTCAATTAACTCTTAATTTCAAACATGTCAAATCCAATCAAGCAGCATTTGCACCTCCTAAAGTATTTAGAAAAACACTAAACATCATCGAATGTTGCATAGGTTCTCCAAATTTCCTTCCAGATAAGGACAGAGCAAAGGGCACTTTTACTCCTGTGCCTTCAGGTAAATTACTGCATACTAGATCTCTCACAACCATTCCTATAAGAGTTAGAGAGATAATTAGTGGTGGCTTAATACCAGCTCATTAAAATTTAGCCCTTTTCTCTTATTATAATATTATCAAAGCAGTTCTGTCAACACGATCCTTGTTACTTTCTTGTTGAAGAATAAAAGACACAGAAATCTGCCCCTGTGCCCATTTGCTAGAAAATCTGAACTCGGACTCGAACACACTGGGTTCTTCTTAGTACTCGGAAACAGCGCTGCCTGCTTTATACTTGAGCACAGTTTGTTCTCTATTTGTTAGGGTGAGAACTTACTCCAGGCAGGCAGGCATACGTCTCAAAAAGCAAGGAAGAGAGCACAGCCTGTATTTTGAAGTCTGGCTGCTGCATACGTTGTGACGCGGGAGCAAAACAACACTTCAGAGAAGCCATATTAAGCCTTTGGGCAGTCTGTCCCATAAAAATGCAATAGTTTGTGCGAATAAGCTGAAGATGAGTATTTTCCTGCCAATGAGGATAACAAGGCTCCCAGAAGAGAACTACACCATCATGGAGTAGTTTATAACAAGCTGCCTGACACACCCTTGAGAAGAGCCATTAGTTTCCTAGGACACTGACTGTGCAAAACGTGCACAAATTACCAACCGTTCAGAAATCCTGCAGCAGGGTCAGGAGAACAAATTACCTTGACTGGTCTCATATGCTTCTGCTTTCCTTTTTCTATTCCGCTGGTCATTCTGTTTTTTCTCAGGAGTCTGTTAAACAATACTTCAAAATTAACATTTCTGCAGTTATTCCAACATTTAAAGAAAATACCAAAACACAATAATCTGCTCCATATCCCCAGCAGCCATTTCATTTCTCTGGTGCATTTGTTTCTACTGCTGGTACTTAAAGAAACAACTGCTCTCAAATAGCTGCTACCTTCTGATACATGTGCTGCAGAAGGGAGAGAACACGGTTAGGAATGAGATTTTTTTTTTTTTTTTTTCTATTTCAGCTGCAGCAAGCCAGCCTCTACTGCTCACACGGTTAGCAGAACAAGCTCAAACACTTAGAAAAAACCTGTGTAAACCGTTTCACAGTGATCACAGCCCTGGTACAAGAGGAGTAATGAGAAAACGTTTGAATACAGAAATCCAAATTTGCAGTCCAGTGGCTACTCACAGTCTAGCAGGGTAATTCATCTTGCCTGCAGCTAATGTTTCTTCCCAAAGCTCTTTGCAGATGGCTCCAAGAACTCTCCTGCCCACTGGTGCACAACCACAACCTCACACAAACCAAGGCAGAACTCCCCAAGACGGCAGCCAGGAGGGAGCTGCCACAGATGCAGCAATTCACCTGTACGTATCTCTCATTAAAGTCAAGGCTCGGTTGCATCTGCCATTTCTGTGAGCAACCAAAGACCTGAGGGGTGGCTTAGCAGCGGATAGCACAATACAGAGTACAGGTGGGAGGCTTGAAGGCTCCCAAAGTGTCATGCCTATCGCTCTGTCCAGGGCTGGCAAGCCTAGACACGAGAGAGTGGAGGAGACCCTGGCACGGTGCTTTCCCCATCACCAGGGTCACTTATGTGGCCAAACCTGCTGAAAACATTAGGAAGCACTGCACTAGAAGCAGCTTATTGAGGTTCTGGAAGGAAATATATCTTCTCATTTCCATCACTAACGTCATTTTAAAACCATCTCTTATCCCAAAGGGTCCCAAATAATTTCTGAGCTATATGCTTTCCAATCACTGCAGCCACCACTAAACTATAGCCTGGAGGCAGGAAGAAAACCACAATGTGCAAAACACAATTCTGGGGGAGGGAAAGCCATGGCCAGAAAGTTTGTGGTAAACCTAAGTTTCATGCTCTTTGGAAACCAAAGTCCAAAGTACCCTGTTTAAAGATCTCTGCCAAAAGACTTGCACACAGTAAGCACAGAAATCAATCTACCTCCTTTAATAGGATAAAAAGGATAAAGCTGACACAGCCAGAATCCAAACCTGGCTGTGTCCCCAGTGGATGCTGGACATCTACAGTCCCATGTCACCAGCTGGGCAGTCACCAATATATCATTGTTTTAGTAAGAGGATGGAGGGGATGTTAAGACAAAGGTGGCTATTGTGTCTGCAAAGTACTTTTTAGAATGTGGGGGGACTGAAAACTCTGTAACTATCTAGAGACTTGCTGCACCAGCTCCTGTACATGTAAAAGTCAACGACATAGCCTCCTCACTGCACGGTGAGGAGCAACTCAAGAACAGCGTTGGCACGACTGTAACACCACCGGCTCCGTTACAATCTCTACGGAACTGTAAGCATATTAATGAGATTCAGTTTAAGTTGTTTTTCCATTCAACTACTTACATAACAAAAATTACACACAACATTATCTGTTAAAGACTGAAAAAGCAAGGAATGGTAGATTTTATTATGTCAACTTATCAATTTAAATAACTTCACAGAAGTTCATTAAAAAACCCAAGTAAAATAATGAATATTCAGCTTTCCACTATCAGCTATACTTGCTTCTATGAGTTTAAGATACTGCATTCTTGAGAGACTGAGCTTCATCAGACACCTCATATCAGTACTGCCATATAATAGCAGGAAACATAATCCAAAACTTACCTGATAACCATATGGAAAGTTCTTTAAATGCATAAGAAAATGCATTTAAATTTGAGATTATGCTTTATTAATGTGGACTTTTAACGTAAAAATGTAATTCTACAATTCATTTTGCTGCTTTAGCAAATGCTTTGAAATAGTTAATTCCAAAGCAGTGAGATTAAACAGGGACAAAGCATCAATTTTCACCTCCCCACACTTCCACAGAGCGATTTATAAAAATGCTCCACTTTGTACAGACTTCTGCAAATGCACATATTTGATAGGTAAGGCAAACTTTTCCATTAATGCTCTCTGGCTTTTTATTTGGCCAAAACTGTATCCAAAACCAGCAAACAAATCACAATGCAGCTGAAAACAATTTCATAAGCTGAGCTTTAGAAATGCTCTGTTTTTGGGGTTGGGTAAAATCTGCCTGTTATGGTGGGAAGCTTCAAGGACTGTTTCACAGCATGGGCCAAGGACTGTAGGGTTAAGATCAAGACTAGATACTTCCCCTAGTCCCTTTCACACCCCAACCAGAGAACAGTGTCCCTCACTCTCACACAATTCCCGTGTTTTGTGTTCAATCATGTCTACCTTGAACCCAATTACCATGAGGATTTGTGCCTGCTTACCTCCAATTCTTTATCACTCAGAGAACCCACGCTGCACAAGCTCTGGTTGGAAGACTCGCTATTTAATGGACCCTAGTGAAAAACAAGCAAAGATGGTTAGAAACAACTTCCATACAAGGCAGATACATCCTATCAAACATTGCATCTCTGGGCTAACCACACTGCTCAAAGTCACTTGGATATAGCAGCAACGTGGGTCATGATGGCACTTGATGGGGCACTACAAAACTTCAGAAGTTGTTTGGAGCAAGACAGAAGTTGGACTGCCAGTTGGACAGTCTTTTCTCAGCGTGCTGACCCAGCCTTTGCAATTTTCTGTACCAATTTATATCCCAACTGCTCTGTTTAGCCACATCCACAAAACAGCCGAGGCAGTATTCATAAAAGTCTAAGGCAACTGGTTTGAGAAACAAAACTTCTGATTTGTTGAGCAGCAGTAGTTCCAAGCTCAGCTCTTCAGGCAAGCATCTGCTTGACCCTGGCTATGCATTCAAAGGCATCTTCCATCTGGCAAGGCAGCTATTACTGTTATCAGATGCTGGCAGTACCACTGATTTTTCTTTAAATGCGTAATTTTTATGCTTTTTTTTTTAACACTATGAAAGTGAAGAAGTGAAAGCTGCGTTAGCAGCAGTGTGACTGGCACCTAGAATCTTTCTCACAAGGCTATTTTATGGACCCACGACTGACCTGCCGACAGAGCAGTTCCTCCTATCAAGCACAAATTCAAGAGGCTGGAATAGATTTGCCAAAATAGTATCCAGTTACGTACAAGAGTCTGCCTGCGTCTTTGCAGGCTCCACTGGATCATACCTGCATTTTTACGTATCCAAGCATTTTTGACAATTTTTTTCTAAAATCTATATCAAAACTGGTTTTGAAAGGAAAGAAAAGTGAATCATGCAAAGTCACTGTTTTAGCCTAAGTGCTCCAACACAAAAGTATCCTCCCACAGATCTAACTTAAGAAATCTAGACGAATTTGACAAAGATATAAAAATAAGATTCACAATTACTGATGGAATGTATTAACAGGAAGAATGACATGATGAAGCCACCTCTCCATTAATAACTTGTGAGCATCTTTTTCCCAAAGATTCATTCTATTTTAGCATTTTATTTTTGCAGTAACCACTTCCCACCAAGCGATCTTTCCTCAAGGCAAAGCCACTTCTCATTATATACTTGAGCAAAAGACTTATGGGAGGGGTGGGGAAAAAGCCTTAACACCAGAGAAATCCCACAGTAATTATTTGTGAGGGTAGCAGTTCTCCATTCCCCATTTATGAGACAAACACCACCATGAAATTAAACTTGTGACGCTACCTAGCTATTACTAACCCCAATTTCCAAGTAGGCATCCACAGAAAGTAAAAGTTCTGTTTACGCTCTGTATTACACTGTGAATGTTAACTACCAGACTTGTTTCTCATAAAAGGACATGCCTAGTTGCTTCAACACACACACACACACACACAAAAAAAAAAAAGCCACCACTGGAATAGTTCAAGAAGCTACACACTTAGGATTCCCCTGTAAAAGCAAATTACTTTAAGAAAAATCACAGATTATATTCTTTAAGCCATATCATTATCCCTCCCCACCCCCCCAATGTGATGGTTCGCTATAGGTACAACTCTTGGTTACGCGAGGGATTTATTCCTTGGCCAATAAGACTTAACAGAAGTGCCAACACCAACCTGAGCGACATCCACATGAAGGTCTCATTGATTAAAAAAAAAAGTAATATCTTATGGCAAGTGGCAACAGAAAGTTAATAATTTCACCCACGTAAAAAGCTTGTTTATAAACTGCACAAATGCTGTCCTCTCAAATCCTTCACTTCCTCGCATGAACTCGAACCCCAGCAGCACGTCCAAGACATCAACCTTCTGTGCAAGCGTGAAAACTTCATTAGGTGCAGAAGCATCTCCCCAGATTAGCATTTGCTGGTCTCAGATGGACAGGCTGGGGTTCTGACACCGTGGAGATGAAAGCAAAAGTTGTTTCCACATTTGCTGAAATCTGGCTGCCTCCATTTTGCACATGGATAGCAAATGACAGGAACAGCTGCTCCCAAAATGCCACATTTGAGCTTTTCAGGAACACTGTCGTTGACAGGGTACGTCAGCGGCTTATGAAGGGCCGATGCCTTGGCAATGGCCCTGGATTCTAGGGTCACCTGCGGAAATAAACCAATGAGGCTGGCTATACTTAGATATGATCCTGAGATTTTTTGCAGAAATACAAGTTTATCCTCTCCAGCACAAAAAAATCCACTCAGCTGGCATCTGAATGTGAAGTCCTGGAATGGAAGCAGCTGGAAAAACACCTAATACAAAATCCACAATGTTTGTCGAGTACCACAACTACCTGTACTGACTGTTCTGTGTGGGACATCTCCAGCTCTAGCAGTTGGATTCAAACCCATTTTTCACATCATCAGAAGAGCAGTTCAGTTCTAATCACAGATTCTTAAAGAGCAAAAAACCTATTTTCCCTTTACTTTAAAACTTCCTCTAGAAACTACACTGACAAAACCGTACAACTGAACTCAGCGCAGTAGTAGAAAGGGTGAAAAGCAACTACTTAGTTATGGAACCAGACACGATCAGCTTGTCAGATGTCTATAGGTACCCAGCAAGTTCACCGTCACGTGTATTGATGTGATGAACAAATGCAGAATTAGTTCTCTGGAGGCAGGTTTTGCCCCATTTCCACTACATGAGCTTTCCTCCCCCTTGATGATCTTCCAGAGGGCCTTCCGCTGACACTTCTCTTACGGTGCAGGATTATCTTACACACATGGAGCTGAAGCACCTTGTTCATGTTAAAGTTCGCAAATAAAGTCTTGTTTTGAGGTATTCCAGCAATGGAAACACAAATTGTTCATGAGAATGTGCTGTACTCAAAGCAATAAATATGCAATAGCTGGGATGTTTGAGGAACACGACCTAGTCCTCAGCACCTCTCTTCACGTAGTTAGGCAAGAAAAATCAAGTTTTCCTGACCTACCAGTTAGATATCTAGTTTCACACATAACCTCACGTTATCAGCTGCTTATAGCAACAGGTTTAGACAATGGATATGAGAAACTATCCATCATCTGAGCATCTCCCCCTCAACTAACAGTCAGTGAGTGTGTGTATAAAAAAAACCCTTCAAATTTATGTTTTATCATTCCTGACTGTTTATATTTAACTCAGCAACTGACATGGAATAAATGTTCAGTACTTAATTTAGCATACCATTTTAAGTGGTCATGACACAAAAGGAATTAAAGGAACAAACCTGAATTTTTGAAAAAAAAAACAAGTAAGCAACGGCAAACAATATGAACATCAGAATATTGCTGGGAAGTAGTGGTAGGGAATAATAAACATGCAATAGTTTACACAGGATGGGCTTATAAATTTTTGTTCCTGAAGAAGTCATCTGCACTGGCATCTGGCTTTTCTAGCAGAGACTACTTTGGGATAATACTGCACTCGGCTGGCATCACTCACAGCCCACTCATCCACTGTACCCTGTCAAGAGAATTGGTGATGGGGCTCAGGAAAAATTCAAAATACGTGGGTCATCTGAAATAAGCCAATAGTTTCTACAGTGTTTACCCAAATGACAAGCACAAGAACAGCACACACTTCCTCCTCCGCAAGGAATTTCTTTCGGAGATAAGCTGGCATGCTCTTTTCCCTTGTGATTCACCTATCCACTGCTGCTTCTAAGTCTGTGACCTACCTATGCATGTTGAGAGGTAGATGCAAGAGTAGCAGGCACTTTCGAGACTCCTACTCAAAGGCAAGAATTTAAAATGTGTCCCCTCACACGAGCTGGTTAGTCATTTCTCCCTTTGCAAGAGCCCTGGAAAGGCCACAAATGAGGCACCAGTGGCTAAAGTTTTAATAGAAACAACTCAGCCTGAGCATAGCTCCCATCGGATCCTCCGTAACAAAGCCAGAGCGACTCAGACTGCTCTTACCTATCTCCTCTCCAAGCCTCGCACAACTCCTGCATTTCCTCAGCCTCTCCGAGTTCCCAAAAATGATCCCTCAGGCCTGTGTGCAGCTCTTACATTGGGCAGTCTCCATTTTGTGCTCTCCAACTCCTCGTATTGAAAGGGAGCTCTAGGAATGCGAGCTGCCTAGCCAGAGTCTCCAATGGGTACTTACAGCAACACACGTTGCAAAATTCTCTTGCTAACTCAATGGCAGAGACATGCTTCATTACCTCAAGCCACAGTAACCTGAGTTCTTCTGAATTCTCTAGCAAATCAAGAGATTTCAAAGGGAAAAAGTCAACCTTAGTTCCACTAAAAGTCAGTGCTGACTCCACACAGGCTTACACCACAGTGAAATGGTTGAACGGTTTTCCAGGTAGCCTGGTCCAGTGCTACTGTATAAGACGGGTTTAATTAACACATTCTTATCTTATTTCAAGCATAACACAAGTATGAGAATTACAACCTGCTTCTTAATTGGGCTTTTAGAAGAGCTCGGTACTATAGCCAACAATGAAATCCCTGAATCACCCAGGTCCTTCTGCCATGAGAAGTTAATCTGTGATCAGACGTTCACAGGTAACCCCCACTATACGGGTAAGCAGATTGCAACAGGATTTGACTTCCTTTATGCCTCAAGAGTTCTCTCAGATTGAAAAAATAGTATTTTTATTTTACTGACATCAAACTGGACAGAAGGGTCATGCAATTCACCCTAACCCTCAGTTCAGAAGCAGAAATAGAACTGAGATCTGTCAACTATTTCTGGGCTCTGGTAGCCAGACAACACATTTGAAATAAGTAATGTTGCACACAGAAGCATCCAAACAACTTTCAAGTATCTGGCATAAAGTCCTGGCACATTCTGTGATAGTCGATAAATTCAATTCTAAGTTTTAAAACTCTTACTAACTAGATCTGGTCCGTTAAGGATCATCACGGGGCAGCACTGTTTCCATCCAAGGAAGACATTATTCTCATCTATTAATTCTCAACTTTGTAACTTTGCTGCTAAAACCGTTGCTAAGTAGACCACACAACTAGTAGTTACTGATCAAGACTGCTAGAGTGACCGAGAAAGGGTAAAGCTCAAAATAATACAACTAAATGCTGGTCTTTCTTATGAGCAATTCTCTTTTTGGAGGAAGATACTCTGCAGCACAGGTGATGCTCTTCAGGTTATTTTCATTTCCCTCTTTACAATACCTCAAAGAAAGAGGCAAGGGAGGACTAGTTACCACCAAGACCAATACTTCTTCAATTCTAGCACAGTCCCCTGGATCTACAAGATTCCTACAGCACGACAGAGAAGGTTACTCTCTCTAGAAACACTTCAGACTTCTTAATTTAGCTATAATAAAGTGGCGCACACAACTTAATTTGAAGATCTTTTAAAGACCAAACTTGTCAAAGATGTGTGTGCTGCCGTGCTGATCCACCCTGGTTAAGGCTGAGAAAAGCTATGTGCAAATACAGATCCACCCATCACAATTACCTATTCCAGTCCTTATCCAGGAAAAGTCTATGGAAATAACACAAATCCTTTGGAGTTAACCCACCTGGTATCTTAAAGGCGGCACCCAAATAGGGGAAAGGGAGGCAGAAGATGAGAACAGACAAAATTAAACAATGATATCTAGAGAAACAAACTACATTTTGTCTTCTGTACCTACCGACCCAAAGAAGATGTCTGAGATTACTGGTCAGAATAATGCCTCAAGCGAATGTGCTTAGATTTCCCCTAGAAGTAACCATGAGCAGGAGTGAAACAAGCAGGAACACCGGTAGGTGTCAGATGGTCATGTGTTAATTCAAGGACTTGCTCTGCGAATTTGTGGAAGAATGGCACTCTACCATATGGCAAGAATAGAGATCTAAAGCATCACGGGCTTTTTGAAGCTATCCAGTGACCTGGATGAACCACATGAGTGCAACAGTTGCCTAGAAACATTCCATGCTCATCAATTGGATTCCATGTATTAACTTCAAGCTTCTCGAGAAATATATTCTCCAGCTACTACGTAAGATAGTTCATCACAGACCTGCAACAGAATTTTGAGGCATTTGGGACTGAAAATGACCTCTGTCATTGGGCTGTGCCTTCAGCTACCGCAGGACATGACAGCGCACAGCTGTTTCCAAAGCAGTTTAGGATTTCTGTCCTCTACTTCGGTTACTGGAAAGCTCTTCCAGAATCCCATGACTCTGATGGCTAAAAGCTTTATTTCTAGTTTCCAGCCTAAAAATGTATTTTAGATCAGCACAGTCTCATTCATTTCTCAGAAACACGTATAGTTGTTCTTTACTTGCAAACATGCAGGGAAAGGGGGTTTAAAGCTGCAGCTGTATTAAGGATGGAAACCGGGATGTTAGTTTTACACAGGTCCAAAATATATCCTGGATTTTTAAACATTAAAGGAACCTAACCAAACGCACCAAGTGATACACCCAGTCGGTGGAAGGCAGGAAGCTCAGCTACAACTGCCTGCTGCCTCCACCCAATAGGAGAGCATCTGCGATGACATTTCTTCCTTTTATGCAATAAACAGCAACAGAATACCTTCTATCCCAGGAGGATGTGCCAGTCCCGGTCCCACTAGATGGCACTAACCTACTCTACGTAGCTTTCCTCAAACATTTAACTGGAGAGAGAGCTAAAAATCTTAACTGAATCAGACAAATTGTATCCCAGCTTTCCCAATATATTCCCTTTAAGACAACGACCTACCAATGCCAGTGCGGAGCATGACGGACGGAGGTTTTGGGGGGTAGGGAGGGAATTTGAAGCACCAACCTGGGAGGGAATGTAGTATCTGAGATTAATATTGCAACCGAGGTTTGCTGCAACATAGTAGAGTCATGCTAATTCATATCAATGGTTGGCTGATCTACTGCAAATTAGCAAGTATGCAAGTCAATAAAGATAGATTGCTTGAAATAAGTGTAATGCACTTTAACAGTTTAGTGACTAACACAAAGTAAAACGCTATAGTGCATAACAACAGCTAAAAATAAAACTCAGAAACAGAAGAGCTTTGCTCAAGGCAAAGAGGCAAGAAACAGATGAAAAAGTACCTAAAAGTTGTAATACAGTATAAAACAAGATGGTAAGTACATGATGTAGCATTAACTTTTATGCTAGTAAAAGCCTTAAGATTAAAAAAAAAAAGTGGGGGAAAAGATCAAAAAAAACCCCTGCACCCTTACTGAAGTAACTGAGATTGTTACCCCTTAACAACTTCTTGAGTTAATCTTCCCTACTACAGAACCTTACAGCTGAACATTTTACTTACACCCCCTTCCAAGACTTCACCCTGTTTGAGTCCTGACTGAAGTACAGATCAGAAAGAAAAGCATGAACTCAAACTAAACCCTTTTCAAGTTCTGATTTGCTTTGAATTCTTCTAAGAAATACAGCATCTGCAAAGTTTCCTCCCTAAATAATTCTAAGAGGTTTCTGAAAATTATCTGGCAATGATGTTGTTTTACCATCTACCTTGATGTTGTCCAAAATTCAGTATCTTCCTCAAGAGTAAACTCCCTATCACTGACCTAGTTGAAGATGAGTTCTGCCACCATTTCATTGCTCAGAGTGACACTACCAACAACATCTGGAGATCTAACAGCTTCACAACAGCATATCCAGCAACCACACAATGTTATTACTTAAGTGCCTTACTCAAGGCAGCTACTGAACAGTTACGAAGTTGTACGTGAGGACAAAGATGGGATTCTACTGGCAGGCTGTGGATCACCGATGTAGGAGAGCTTACCTTCAAACACTTTGTGTGCGTATATCTTCTACGCAACCCAGTACAAAATTTTAGCACTCTGCACCCACAAAGAACTGCACAAGTAAGTTCCTGAGTACATTAAGTCTGGTTACATGTTGTATCAAACAAAGTAAACTTGAAACTGTATCTAGCAAGTGGTCAAATTCAGCTCTCAAATGTAGACTTGGAGAAAGGAAGACACAGATGAGATGCCCACATCCACAGACAAAGTTGTCATGGGTTTCTTTGGGTATACAAGCTGCCTTAAGATGAAGTAACTCCTAAGAACTTAATTAGAACACAACATTTTCTGTACAGCAAAACATCTGCTCATAGAGATCCCATTTTCATTCCTCTTCAACACGCTTCAAGCACATTAGTGGTCAAGACACAACTACTGATACAAAACATTCTGCTAGCAAAGCAACATTATCAATGTAGAAATTAAAAAACCAAAGTGCAGCACAGGATGGGTAAGCAGTCATGCCTGTTACCAGAGGTACTTATATTCACCTTAGCAACCCCGACTCCAGTGAACCTGGCCTCCAGTAGTTCCTGCCGTCGTGGGTCCAGGCTATGCAATTCTTCCATCATTTCTGCTGCTACGGGAGAACATTCAGATTATGCAATGTAAGGAAAGGAGAGAGATTTAATATTCCGTGCCACTGATGAGACTCAAAAGTGCCTGTTCTGCAGCACAACCGTGTAGAAAGCATTTTCTTGTATGAGAAATGCAAGATTACCATGCAATAATAGCATGACTTTGCCACCATATTACTGTATTTAAACCACAACCCTGCTGGAGAGTTTCCTCTTCTCTCTGTTGTACCAGCCATTTCAAGATCTCTAAATCCAAGAACCAATTATGTCACATTCTCCCACTGGATGCTTTATTAAAAGGAAAACATGGGACCAGAGTGTTATGACTAAAAGCTTCAGAGCTTTTCATCCGTGCTGCATAACTAGGAGGGGGGAAAAAAAAAAAAAAGCAACATTCTTTACCCCATCGTTTATTTTTGGCCAATCCTGGATCTCTCTGAACTCCAGATTTCACTGACAACAGCTTTGGTTCTTCCAAGCACAGAAAGGAATTATAAAGAAGAAAATAACGCATGTTTAAACCTTTTACTTTACAGAATAAAGCATCAGATACCTCCAGCATAACAGCTGCTTCTATATACTGGATGTACCTGGGGTACCTCTTGGCAATCCAACATATCAGATGCCATTATTTGAAGGGTTAAAAAAAACCAAACCACCCAGCATAGTTGTGTAAACAGGTTAAAAAAAAAAAAACTGGGAAATATGTAATCTGAATACTGAACTGTGAAAAAAATGGGACAAATTTCAATGTTGACTATTACTGTGAATCACATCTTCCCAACTGCACCAATCAAGTTCATTTCCAGAAATGTCTGTTCCAGTTTCATTTTCTGGACTAAGGTAGGGAAAAGGAAAAAAAAAAAAAAGAAACAGAAGATAAAGATTTGCTGTATGAAGAGCATATGCGATGAGGAAAGTTCTTGAAGGGCAGCAAGTGCCCTCTAGAACAGCCAGTATACAATTGTTCCTTTTATTAACTGTCCATTTTGTCCCTGCCGTTTCCTCCAAACGCTGCAGATCTAAGTTACAGAGGGCAAAGTGAATCCATCCGGGGGCATTTACAACTGCTCTCCCGGACCACTAACAAGCCTCAAAAACTAATGGGATACTAAATACAGTTATTAGAGAACCCCATTTCTACTATGGGCTTTAAAAGCCCAACAAAGCTATGAGCCTAGTTTTCAAAACAGGAAATCTGTGCCCCGAGAAAAAAGGACAGACAAGCCATGAACGCAAAGATGTTGAGGTCCTCCCAGGTCTTTCCCCCATTACAGGGCGACCATCCAGGAGGGAATCGCATCCCCACACCAAGATGCTGCTCTGGGGAAGGGACTGCCACAAGTTCCCGAGCCTT